GAGCAGGTTTCACATGATCAGAATAGTGGCAGCATAGTGTGAAATTCAACTGGTAACTGCTGCTTGGTAAGAAACAAAACAGTCACATTGGAAGAATTGCCAGGAGGATAATAAGCTATGAAAAGGTTATTCCTAAAAAAAATCATACAGGAAAATATGGTGCTGCATATGCAAAATATAATGATTTTCTGCTACCACTTTATTCTTCTATAACCCAAATCATATTTTTCCAAGCAATTTAAGTGTAAAAATTCATTAGCCTATTGACTCTAGTTTTCATTAAGCCCAAATAATCACTTAGAGACTTTTAAAAAACATTTTTTTAAACTAGCAGTAGCCAGTTAATGTGTGGTTACAAGATCCCTCACCTGTTAGAAATTTCTCACGTTTTTACTGTCTCATCACAGTGTACAGATCCACTTCTGAGATAGCATTTCAAATCTACTTTTTGAAAACTGACAATAAAAAGTGGAGGTTTTGATAGTCCCAAATATAAATCAAACTATTTTCCACTTTGTGTGAGTGCTGCAATCATCTCAAAGGAAAAGCTGGATACAAATACAATACTTTCTCAGATGGTCATATGTTCAGAATGTCTGGCAGCCTAGTGGCATTTCAACACTGATGTAAAAATTACCATCTTAATATCATCAGTCTAAAGTACTAATCAGAGAAAATGTGAATCTTTAGAAGATAATCTTGGTCCAGCATCCTTGAATTCGGCAAATGTCTTTTAGTTGGGAAAAGAAAGGAGGCAATTTTTTCTTTGGAAGCTGTGTGGATCAGCATTTTGATGCCATCAAATTAAGAGATCTTGTCACATTTTACACGGCCAGATGGCTGCATTGTTAGAAGCTGTGGAAGAAGGAATTGGGGCTTTTTTTTGGTGTGTGCAAAAGATAAGCCATAAGAGTTCATTTGGTCACAGTCACCATTCAAATGCCTAGATTTTAAAGGCATTTTGACACTCTGCTTTTCATTAATATTTTCTAAGCAAAAATCTCCATAAAAAGTGTTTCCTTACTGAGTTTGACTTCAAGAAAGATGGGAAAATTCAAAGAAAGGAAAAGATCACATGTGTGTTGGTAAACATATACAAGTGTGTGTATGTATGTATGTATGTGTGTGTATGCTAGATGGGTAACTACACTGATAATCTCTAAAAGTTCATCAAAAAGAACAGTCATTGTACTGTCATAGTTTGATTGATCACTTTTGTGCCTAGATTTTATAACTTGGACGACTACTTCTAAGAGAACAATATGCAACGTATTACTAGTGCTAATTCCCTACTTTTAAAAAATGTATCATTTCTATCTTCTTTTGTCTGTTTTGCTTTGTAAAATTAAAAAATTCTCAGCAGTGGACGTCAAAGTCGTCACTGTAATTGGCCCCAAATGGGTACATAGTACACAGACCTTTCTTGCATCTTGTATTTGACTCTCTCAACATCTAAAATGTCAACAAAAATTAACACACAAAGGGTCCTGGGTTATAGCTCAGCAGCACAAGCTCGGCCTGGCAAGCCGCGGTCTGGAGTTTGATCCCTCATACCCCTGGCCCCCAAAAAGAAAATCAACTCATGGAAACATAAAACTATCTATGATCTGGGCCCGATGCTGACAATCAAGTTCCTTTCATGTGTTTTCGACTCAATTCAAAAGTCAAACTTTCTTAACTGATGTAGCACTGTGTTTGTCCGACCTGTTTTGTAATCGCAGTTGCCTTGCAGAAGTTACTGTGAATTACAAACCACTTAAAAATTATGTCACTTTGCTCCATCTTACTAAATTTTGATGTCATATTCTTTCTCATAATAGCCCTTTACAAAAATATATTTTGTAAGTAACCAATGAAATTTCACAGCAAAAGTTTATTTTTAAAAATCTCTACACCGAACTGTTTATAAAAAACTTACAAACAAAAGAAATAATATTGCTTGACTAAAATAATCTATAATACCAAACAGAAAAAATAGTACACAGCTGATGCACAGGGTTCTACTATATATAATTTTGAAGACTATTTTATTAGATTATGTAGATATGAAAGTCATTAAAAGTGACACCATTTTCTCAGTTTCTTCTAAAGTTTTCATTTAAAACCATAATAAAGACAGGAGGGTAGCATTCATCATTTGAACATAAAAGTTCTCTGTCTTGAGCAAGAATTTCTGAAGTTCCTGGGAAGCAGGAGTTGGGATTCACTGCTTCTGTCTTCTCTTAACCTCAATCCCACCCCCAGCCTCAAACCAGAGCCTAACACCGGGTGCACTGATCCCCAGGTGCTAACCAACCACAGGGAGGGCACCCATTCGGTTTCAGCAGTGATATATCTCAACCACAATGATTTCTTTCCTTTCAGACTTCCGTTGTATCTTGTCTTCCCTTTTAGGAGTGAACTAGGCATTTTCAGGGTCTGTTTTAAGAGAAGTTGAGTGGGGTTGCTTATATGAAACGTTTATATGGTTTGGGGTCATTTTCATGCATTGATGAGGGATGTTGGCCATCTATGTCATGATTGGTTTCCAGGTATGCGCCTACCACAGAGAGTGGCAGGTGAGGCAGAACTGCCTATGACACAAAGGTGTCAGGCTGAGCCTTTTGTATGAGTATGTCCCACGCATCTCAATACCAAATCTGTATAGGGAGAGGAGACCTAATGAGATATATTTGCCAGGAGCAAGTTGACGTAGCATTCTTCTGTTCATAAAATCTATAATTTCAGTTTCCAAGTTTCAATAAAATATTGAGTTATCAATGATGCCCAGTCAACGCAAAATCTCTCTTGAAGAGAATTTGTTATTGAAATTTATAAATGCATCATACATTTCATCATACATTTCTTTTATCATGGTGTCACATGAAAATAAATTGCACATTGCAAAGTCAATTCTACAGTCAATCATTATAGAATCAAGTAAATGTTAATGGTTATAGGACACAAAAATAAAATGGGCCTACCACTAATAAATGTGCCTATAATAACTCCTATATGAAAGAAATTATGTAATAGTTTCCCACTATATTTGACATTAAGCTAAACAATACACACAAGATATTGTCAATAAAATTATGGTTGGCTGACCAAACTCAATCAACCGTATTAAAAGAAGAATAATCTTTCTACTCTCCATAGAGAAAATGATATTATAAGAATTCCTATCACATGAAAAGGTGATCAAAAAGTAAGTAGCCAAAACTACATGGGGAAAAGTATTATGGAATAGTTGGGCAGTTGACTAGTTAAAACGTTACCTTTCTGGGAGTTTTCAATACTTGTAATATTACAGGCTTTTCAAATTTGAGTATTGTAGTTTCTTCTCTCTTTGAAAAAAAATAAATATGCACTTTTATATCTAATTAAATTTTTATTACTCCTCTTATTAATTTTCCAAATTGTGTCTACATCAAGCCCTAAACAACCTGCATCATTCTACACTACTGGGATAGAGATGTGTTTGCCAGGTATAACCAAGAGGCTGATTTGTCATCAGGCTTTGTTTGTGTCGTGGCCACCCATAATAATTATGAAAGATTTCCATCAGACACTACCCAAATTTCATACTGTAGTCAAGAATGAATAAAATTATTATTGTAGATGCCTTTGCTTGGTTTCTGGACTTGCTTTGCCCTCTCCTACTGAGACATGGGCTAAGAAGAGCTTTTAGATGCCCAAGGGCAAGGTAATGAACCTATACTTAAAGGAATAGGAAATTGTCTCAATAATTCAATAACTGTAGTCTTTAGATGCATTTTGATGAAAGTCCTTGAGTATTAATGGATATTGAACTAGCTTTCCAAAGGCAAAATGGCAATTATTGTACAAATATTTTCAAATTGCTGTAGATCACAAACGGCTTCTAACTTGCATCTGCTACTTAGGCTTCCACTGTTGCTACCTGTGGAGGGATTTAGGCTGAATTCCTCCGTAACACCCCAGAGGGAAGGAACCTAGGAAGGAGAGTGTGGGTGGCGTTTCCTGCCCTTCTCTCTCTCTGATCACAGCGGGCAGACCCTGTTCTGCAGGTGCGCTGTGGGATCTGTGAGCCCTGACATTTGAGAAAGCCCTCATTATTTAGGAATGAATGACATTCATACTTCAGCAATGTGTAAACTATTCTAGCTTTAAAAGGAAGGGAGGAAACGAGCTCCTGCATGCTTTCTCAAAAGCTTCCAATCATTTTTATTTTTGCTTCTTTACTTTGTTTTGCTTTTTTACCTCAAATAGAAAACCCTAGACAGCTAATTAAAATCAGAATATCCCATACATCTGCAGGTATCTAGTAAGAACAAACATCTAAATAAACTTACTAATAATTCATACTCTGTTTCACATGATCAAAATAACTACAAAAGACATAAAACCTTTGGATGACTTTAGCAAGATAAAAAATTTTCATTCATATAATCTCAACTAACATAACCCTTCCAAGACCTTGTTTCCAACACTAACTTTCTGCAGGCGTGGGCCATAATCACACTTTTCCTCTCATACTTGTGTTACTTTTTCTTACTACTGCGGTACAACCTATTGGGAACATCTCCCCCCCTCTCTTCCTACAATCTTTCAAGACTTAAAGAAATAACAGTCTTTCAAGAACATGGCTCACCTCTTTGAAACATTTCCTTAAGCTTTTTTCTCTCCAGCCCTATCTGAATACTCGTGATAGTTTTCTATCTATGTGATGTGCCTGAAGTTTAAATTGTAACTATTTAATATTGTACCTAGTGGTTTTCAACTCAATCAAATATTTCTCTAACATGACCAACAAAGAAACAATCTGTACAAGATTTCAAATTTACAATGCACCCGTGTGCCCAGAGGCAAAGGAAAATCTGCTTGCTGCATGTGTATTAAAGGCAGACTCAAAGTAAGAAGAGTGGGGTGAACAGAAGTGCTTGCTATAATTGTGAACAGGAGCTGAGAGCATTCTGCTTTCTTCTAAAAGGACTGATAGATTTTGCATTTAATTGATTCTCTGCTGCTCTCTCTCCCAGGTCTGCTTTGTGAACCTGGATGTGGACAAGGATGCATGTAGCACAGAGCACCTGCAGCAGGTAACGCAGAAACTCAAGCTCCTCGGAGCTCGTGCAAGGGTTCATCGTCCAGTGATGTTCATTTTAGAAGAGACTTTGCCATTAGGTGGCTTCATCGCATCCATTTCCCGACCTCTCCTTGCTAATACCCATGCAGTATGTTTTTCGCATTTGTTAAGCTTGTTTTTCCATTTGGGCAGCACAGTTCAGCCAGGCGCTTTCTCCCACTCACCAGCCCTGTCTGCAGCTACTCTCTTCTTCCATTGTTGTAAAACCCGATTTCTGCCAGTCAGCACTTCTCTCTGCCTCTTATATCAGCTCCTTCTTGCTGCTTTTATGAACTTTCACCATGAACCTTGCCTTTCTGGCCTTGCGCTCATCTAGGGCTGCAACCTATTTTTTTTAACCATGAAGGAGCTCATTTCCTCAAGCTCATCCAAGGTTGTAAGCAAGCTGATGTAAATCCTTGACAGCATGTACACACTTGAAGGTCCAGTTAGTCCTTTGGAAACAGAGCCTGCCATACAAGAGGAAGAATTAATTCCATGCCCAAAGCTGATGGGGTTTGACCTCACTGGTGTAATACTGTTTAATGTATAACAGCATGCCATGTGCAATTTAATTATTGTGGAACAATAGACCAATTGTACAGTAGCTCAGCACCCAATTATTCTGTAACCAGTAGTTGCAACTGTTCACTTTACTCCTGTATTTATTTTTGGCATTGAGGCACCATCGCTTCGTAAGCCCAGTTGTTTTCACAGATTATCCATTAGAAATTGTCAATCCAAGCAATCCAAATAGGGCTTTTGTAAAAATTAAATGCAGTAAGATGTAACGTATACACAATTTTTAACATAGTACTAGTATGTAGGCAGAGTAAAATCAGTGTTAGTCATTTATTCTTTTTATTGTTGTTGTTGACTATGAGAATAGAAGATTATTAGAACTACATCAAAGTCCCTGTATTAAAGGAAAAATGTATCCAAATCCCTGTATTTATCTATGGTATGATAGTACTTGCCAAATGTCCACTTTGGAAAATTTAGAACTAGAAAATTTTAAATCTTAAATTATGTATTCCAACCTCAACTCTTAGGCATTAATTTTATACAACTTCTTCCACTGATAGACGTGGTAGACTAAATAACCTCTAGCATGAATAAATCATCTTGGCATGTAGAGAAGTGTCAAGGTAGTATTTTAGAAGTGAAAAGAAATCATCTAAGCTAACAAAGATTGTTTCTCTACAGAAACTGGTCAATGTTTCACCAGATCTTCCAAAACTTATCAGCTCCATGAATGTCCAACAACCAAAAGAGAATGAAATTGTCCTCCTGAGTGGCTTAGCATCTGGAAATCTCCAGGCAGATTTTCAAGTTTCACAGGTAAGAAACTTAAATTCTCAGTCATTCACTTAAGGATAAATTAAATTATCTGTAATTAGTTCAGTACAGATTGATATGAACCCAAAACAGGTGATATGCAGAAGCGCCTTTAGCATAATAACCAGTGATGCCTTTGTATTTGATGGTATTTTTCATTTGTATTTCTCCCAGACATTGCTACTCAGAGTTTGGTAGAGTTTCCTTGTATCAGTTCCAAATTTCTATTATCTTCTCAAATTCATGATATATTGCACTTGAGTTATAGCAGAGATATTAGACATTAGTTATTTAGCGTGGTTTCCTACAAATATAGTAAATAATCAAAACAGAATAGTTTTATCTTTTAGAAATAGCACTAAAATTTTGAATCATATCTTATGATTCCAGAATGCTATTGCATCATCTTTCTAAGTGTTATTTACTTCTTAGGAAATACCAAACTAACAAAGCTAATACTTAAAGAATGAGCTGCCCAAGGATGGAAAAGGAGTTTTCTGGGCCCAAAGAATGAAATTTTCAGAAATAAAAGAATACTATTCAAAATGAAGGAACTAAAATATTACTATTATCATTCAGTATGTTAATGTTTATTGATAATTTTATAAACATATCACCTTATTTGAAGAAATGTATGAAAAGCTATTCAAGAAATTTTCAAGGAAATATTCATACATGTTATAATTTTCTAATGAAGACATCAATCTAATAATAATTCTCTTAACAGGAGCCTAGATTTCTGAAAAAAAACATAAAAAAGGATTTAAATGCCCTCTTTAAGGCAAAACTATAGTTTTATAATGAACAGAAATAATACTCAAACCTGAATTTTCTGTTCTGTTGTATCTTATTAAGAAATTTCTACCTCACCGGGTAAAAGGTTTTCATTTCATCTACAGTGGAGCTTATCAACATAACATAAAATTTCAAGTAACAGTGCTAAAAAGGAAATTAAACTTCTTGGAAGCCAAAATGTTCACCCCTTTCACACTCAAATCAAAACAGAGGACAAGAAATACCCTACCCACTTGACCTGAGCATCTATCTCTTCACTCATGTAGTTTTCAGGCAAGAACTCTAAGCTTACAGCCACTTGGATCTTGCTAGCCCAAAAAAACAATATAAGTGACTTCAAATCATTTTGGATATGAAGTCAAAAAGATTTTCCATCTTTCTGAACCCATACATGATATCATGACAGTAACAATTTCTATTTTACAGGGTTAACTTGAGGAATGAAATACAATAGATGAAAAGTACATTGCTTGAAGCAAATTACAGTTTTTGTTACAAAAGAAGAATTGATAAAATTTTAAGCACAACATGATACAAAAAATACAATTGAAACTATGTTTCTTCTTGTTGTGGAAAAATGTTTATGAATTTTAATTTTTATAGTAATGATTCTTATAAACATTGTGGTAAATCAATTAATGTGAGATTTTTATCACTAGATAATCATATATTCCTGATTTTTTAGCTACTAATAAGACTGTGTACTATAAATTTTACATGAATCCCATGTAATTTTTGACTTGTCACCAAATTATACACTATCCTTAAAATATAGCATAGAATGAAGATTTGTATTCCTATTTTCTTCATAGGATCCATACATTATTTTTACTAACGTACCTTTGCTTTATAAAATGTTTTTACTAACTTGCAAGTACAAGAATTACTGGAAAATTCAACTTCCTTCCAAATTCCCTATGAACATTGATACTGACACTAATTGGACCTGACCTTGAGTTGAACTTCCTACATAGTGATTAACCCCAACTAGGATTTTTAATTAAACATGGCAGAAAATTGGCTTAAACACAAAAAGAACGCATTACCTCCTATAACTAAGCCAATCTAGTGGGAAGATAACATACAAGGATTTGAACAATGGCATAAGGACGTGGATTTTCTCTTTTCTGCCTTCTCTTTTCTAGTCTCATTAGAAACAAGCTCTTGCCTCAAGCTGCCTGTTCTTGGTGACTCCCAGCAAATGTCTCTGAGTCCCACTGACATTCACGTGTTTTCTTCTCATTTTGTAACCAATTACTGTGGTTTGAGGAATGCATTGTTCCTATGGGGCACCCCTGAGTCACATGGTTACCCATGGACTTGGAGACAAATGAACTCTACCTGAATTACTTGGAAATAGTACCCCACCAGGAAGATACAAGAACCAAGAGGGCAAATAATGCTGGGTTGCAAAACAACAAAGATGCTCACTGAGATCAAGAGAGCCAAATTACCAAGCACTCATTAAAGACCATCAATTTAAAAATGTTTTCAAAGCTTGTGACCATGGCACAGGCACCCGGAAGACTGGTGCCAGAGGATCTCTTAAGCCCCCAAAGTTCAAGACAATAGAGTGAGATCCTATCTCAAAGCAAATAAAGAAACAAAACAGGCTTCTTGACCTAGGATTTATCAAATATCGTCTGTGAGCTCCCTCACTCTGAAACATTTTAGGCTTTTTACTGTAAATTTCTCCATCACGTGCTTTGACCACTTCACCTTTCTGCAAAGCCCCAGAGCTGCTAGATCATTCTGTAGGTATCATGACCCACGTGTTTTAATAGATCAACAATGTAGGGAAGCACTTCCATGCAAACCCTACTCCAGCCAACTGTGGCAAGTACTTATTTGTTTAAGGATATTCTCAGCTTGACTGCTTTATCCCATTGAAGTTGGTGGCATATTTACTCATAAATAAGGACACAGAAAGTGGCGGAGGCAAGTTGAACTAGGTGAATCCAGAAAAGTCTGAATCAGGCATACTAGGGGTATAACTTAATGTCATGGAGAAAGGGAATAAATAAGCCATTTTGCACCTTCAACCCAGAAAATATTAAAGGGAGACTTTCCTAATCAAGTGAACTGCTAGCAAGCTGGATGAATGTGTCACTTCATTTCTCTTAATTTTCATTTCCTGTTTTATAAAGTGGAGACTTAAAAAAATTCTTAGAACTTTTTATAGTAACAATAATAATTTAATAAAATAGTATGAAAGCAACTGCATAAGCACAAAAGACTATCCAAATTCAAAGTACTGTGTTTTTGTATTCAAAAAATTAAAGATGAAGTAGAAAGAAAACATTAACAAAACTGAAATGAGTATCAGGGTGGAGTATTAGGAACACCAAGAGTATGATCCAGTCACCAACTGGCCATGCTTCTTTGGCTAAAATAAGCACAATAATGCTGCAGGAATAATGTAGAGAATTTACTTTTTCTGCTTCTGGAGAGTTTTTTTCCTTGTGAGAACTTTTCTCTTCATTTATTCACATCGTTGTCTTTTCAGCTTAGCAAATTATTCTGTTGCTCTTCTAAATGTTGTTAAATTATTTTATATAATTAAACAATACAATTGGTAGAATGTGAAAAAAAGTTATAATGTCTCTCGATCACTCATATTCATTTAGCAAATGTTTATTTACTTACTAATCTACAAAGTCTTAAATACTTGCCCAGGTACTAGGAATACAGTGGCAAAAAGTCAATCATTTCCTTTTCACTGGGTTTGTAGTCGAGTATTCTCTCAAATTTTATTTCCTGTGGGTCTTATTAAATATATGTAACGGTGCACACAACTGTCCATGTGCATATGTCTCAAAATACCAATGAATAAACACCAGCAGGCCCCAAATGAGGAGCTGCCTTGATAGAGCCCTACACAAATTCTAAAACTCCTTAGGAAAAATAATAACCACAAAGAGCATGTAATGGCTATTAGTTGAGTAAAATACTGTTGAAAACACATAAAATCAGATTTTTTCCCCATAAAAACAAATTTTTCTAAGCATATTACCTACAACAGTAAGATCTACTCCTATGATTGTCCCAGGAAATGAAGGCATCATTTATGAACATGCATGAATCTGTACAGGCCCAGGTATGGCTTTCTATCCCTGCCAAAGTGTGTGGCTTTTCTTTGGACACTGAATCTTTGTTGTCTGCACAAGGACACCACGAAGAGAACTGGAATTAGAATCCAAAAAGCCCGAACTGCAGTGCCAGCCCTTCCACTTCATGCGTGTGTAACCTTGAAAAGACTAGTTAGGCTTTCTGTATCCCCGTATTGTCTCCTGTAAAAGAGCTATCAACCTTGTGAAATGAATGTTCACAATGAAGGTAATAAGTTATGCTGAACACCCAAGAAACCACCGTCACACTTCTACAGCAATATATGCCATTGTCGTACAGGCTGTATTGTTTGACTTTGATTTAGCCAAGACTCCCAGGATATTTATTTACTTCCAGAAAGGTGTTTTTTGGTTTTTGCAATGCTATGAGTTAAACACAGGGCCTTTGCAGTGAGCCAGAGTTCTGGGATTGCAGGCGTGAGCCATAAGTCTAGCTACAGACAGTATTTGAAAAAGCTGCCCTAATATCAAAGGTGTGTAACAGTGAACATGTAGTAAAACCCTTTCTCTAAATCTATCTTGAAGTGTTACTCTGTTTGTATTGCTTTGTTAATGTCTCTTTGACTCCTCCCACATTTTACTTCATTATATATATTTAATTTGAATAATATGAAATGACCAATATATGACTGTGTTGACCTACAAGTATGGCAACATGAGTGACCCGTCAGCTTTCAAGAAGCTACTGTTCCCATCTTCCAGTCTCTGCAGAAAGGCAGGAACCTAAATTCTGTTGATATCTTGCTCCAAATTGCAAAAGTAATACTTGTCCTGACAGTCAAAGAAATTTTTCTTTTGTTTTGAGTAAAGCCAACCAGCAAACAGAGAGGGCTAAAATCTCCCCCAACTCCAGTTCTTAAAACCCTATTATCTTCTGCTTTGGGAGAATTATAGTTTGATTTCTAACTTTTCTTCCCCTAGTTCAGTAACCTGAATAAAATTGCTTTTGGTTGTTGAACTCTGCAATTTAATTTTTGCTTTAGCCAGGGAAAAGCAAAGTATGTGATACAGCTGCTCTCTTTTCTTCCAAATCAAACTTTCTCCTAGAGACCTTGGATTCCCAAATGCCGCTTGAATTTTTTTCAAGCCGTTCATCAACCTAAGCCCAGAAGGTATTTCAAATATTTTTAAGATTCCCCATTTCTTTTAACAGGAGATGTTGGTTGGAAAGAGAAATGTTAGATGCAATAGGCTTTTTATTTTCCCTTTGAACAGTGTCTTTTTTTTTCTTTCTGCTTTTAGTGTCCTTGGCTGCCAGATATCTGCTTGGTCCAATGTGCGAGAGGGAACAGACCGAATAGTACCAACTGCATCATCTTTGAAATCAATAAATTCTTGATTGGCCTGGAATTGGTGCAAGAGCGGCAGCTCCACCAGGAAACAAACATCTTGAAGCCAGAGGATGACACGAACTGTTCTTGGTCCTCCATCGAGGAAGACTTCCTCACTGCCTCCGAGCACTTGGAGGAGGAGAGCGAGATGGAAGAATACCGGAATGGTGAGACTGTCCCAATAAAAATGAACGTGCATCCCGACCTTAGTCACTGCATAGAAATGTCTTGGAGGGATTTCAAAAAAGTTTCAGGCCGTGTCACTTTGGGTGACAGCATTGCAAATGTCATGCACTGATTTTTAAGGAAGGAAGGAGGAGGACAGAGCACTGGTGAAGATGCTGATGACTGCATTCAGCAGATGAGGAGTGGATGGAGCAGGATCCCAAAAGATGCCTTAGGCGTGTGAAAGAAATCTGTGTGTTTTATTTAATTTAATTTAATCTCATTTTATTTTATTTCATTTTATTTTGTACCGAGACTCAAACTCAGGACCCGATGCTTGCCTGTGCCGTGGAGGCCCCTGTGACCTGTGTGTTTTAAAGAGAAATAATCCTTTCTGCCTTGAGGTAGAGGCTGTCACTGGGAAGAAAGTTAGCTCCCCTGAGAGTTCCATAAAAACTATGTATTAGTTGGATCCGAACTGAGCAGGCCTAGATTTCAATCCCAGAAGGCTCACTTTGAGGCTATGAGACTTGAGACCATCTTTCTAACCTTTTTGAGGTCTGGTGTTTCCTTATCTGTAATTTCAGAATATAGTAGTATCTGCGGCTAGTGACTGTTGTGAAAATAGGAGGCATTAACCAGGAAAGTGCTTGACACTTGACTCTTTCTGTTCACGCATTAGTGGAGCTCGAGAAATGGTTTCTCTTCCCAACTCTTACCTACAGGGAAAAAAAGATCCCAAATACTGTTTTTTCCTAAGACAAGTTCTATGCAAACTTCACAGCAAATCTGTGCAATTCTAAACATTCTTTCTCCTCCTCTCAACCCTCCAGAAGATTGTCAGATGCAGTTATTTATGTTGCTTTCCCCAGAAGGGTGACCACATTTCGGTTCCTAAATGCTATCCCCTCTAGCATATGCACTTATGTCTCACAATGAAAGCTATTTTGTTGTGAGACACTCTATAAGGGACTTAAAACTCTTTCTCAAACTCACTTTTCTTAAAGAAACATACACAGCAGTATATTTGAAAACAGAAAGATAGCCTGGCACTTTAAGGCAAGTTTAGAAAGTATTTATTATTGTCAGATCCATGGAAACCATTTTTAGATCCAAAAAATAATAGTTGATAATAGTTGATCTTATTTTTTTCTTCACTAGGTTGTGAAAATATAAATGTGTCAGCCAATGCTTTCGAAAGTAAAAAGCCAAGGGAAACCACTCAGGAGGAATGGAATGAAAAGAAGGAAAAGTTCCTTTGTGTTTTGGAAAATAAATATGTGAGCAAACAACATACACCATTTATTAAAACAGAAGAATCTCTGGAAAACACAACCTTCCAAAGGCCAGAGCCACCAACAAACCCCTTACAGGGGAACGGTGAAGCCATGGGGAATGAGCGACCAGCCAAAGCTTATCATTCAGACAATTCTGAGGACCGTGTAGAAGAATCTCAGGCAATAGATGTTCCGAGTGACGCCCACTTCTCCATGATAGTTAGGAAAGATGCACCTGCTGCATGTAGCATTGTCACTGAGCAAAGCAGCAACCTTGAGCCAGGAGACCGTGAAGACCCAAGAAATTCTTTTCCTCCTGCTCAAGATGGAGAAACTACTACTGGAGAGTATGCTACAAATTTAGCAGAATCTGTGCTGCAAGATGCATTTATCAGATTATCTCAATCTCAGCCTGCACTCCCCATGGAGCCCACAATCAGTGCTCCTGTAGGAAGTGCTCTGTTTCCCAGTGGCTGTTCCACAAAGGATACAGTGACTGCCAGGTCATGGAACAAGCTCCCCAAAATCGTCATTGTGCAGAGCCCAGATGGTAGTGATGCTGCCCCTGACCCTGGTATCTCCACTTGGCCTGACACAGATGTTTCTGTTGATGCCACAGGGGTTCTCTCAAGAGAGAACCCCAGCAGACACCCTCAGGGTGCTCTAGAAGTAGCGTTAGCCTGTGCAGCCACTGTGATTGGAACCATCTCCAGTCCAAAGGCCACAGAAAGATTCACAATGGAGCAGGAACCCTCAGTGTCAAACTATACCCTGGAAGGCAGCAAAGAGCTGCAAACGCCAGCACCCCTAGGATTCCAAGAACCTTCCATCGGTGACTACTCCTTCCCATCTGCCCTGTGTGGGATGACTCAGGTGGCAAGTGCTGTTGCTGTCTGTGGCCTGGGTGAAAAAGAAGAGGTATCGTGCCCAAGTGACCTCTTGTCTGGAGCTGAGGCATCTGAAGCCACCTCTCTACTTCATAATTTAGGGACAAAAAAGATCATGGAGCTGGAGAAGGAAGCCATTGCAGAGGCTTTGCTCATAGAGGCAGCTCTGGTTTTAACCGACCCTGCATCTTACAGTAGCATCAAAGACCTCATGGATTCTGTGAACAGGAGAATCATAGAAATTGCTTCAAAATCTCAGACCTTGTGTTCAGAAAACTTCCTCAGAAATGACCTGGCACACACCCTGTCCAATGTTATCCTGAAGCATTCCATTGATGAAGTTCACCAGAAAAAGAACATCCACTCCAATGATGGCAGACCTTCGTTTGACTCCCTGGACACCTTTGTGGAAAGCACAAATCAACTGCTCCACAATGTTATATGCTTCACATTCAAGAAGATGAGCCATATGGTGAGGCTTGGTGAATGCCCTGCTGTGCTTTCAAAGGAGACCTTCAGGCAGCGAGAAGTAGAATCCCTAGGCTGCCAGACATTTGACCAGGCTGCTGGTCAAGCATGGACAGAATATTCCAGTGACCATCTGCCTAACAGTCCCCACAGCACTAGTCTCACCTTGGAGGATCTTACGGATGACATGCATCCAAAGCAAGAGAAGAGTGGCGTGAGGCCAGGTCTATTCAACAACCCCACACTGCCTTCTGAATTATGTAGTCACCGAGGGCTGGATTCTTCCACTGCTAAAACAGCCCCCAAGGAAATGCAAAGAATGGTGGGTGAGGATACAAAGACCCCTCAGCAGACACCCGGTCACCAGGAGAATGAACAAGGAGCCTCCTCAGGAGCAGAAAAGATCTCAGTGGTGGGCAAGTACAGGAGCGGCTCTCAGGGTGCGGAGGACAGTACCGATCCCAGCACCCAAGACAAGTGCAGCTGTGCCACATCTCGGAACAGCGACCTCCAAGGAAACCTGTCTTTGTCAGCAGATGACCAGGGCCTTCCTGCTCAGCCCATGCTAGAAGCAAAGCACCCAGACAGCTACTGCATTGCAGACTTCGCAGAAGAATTAGCAGAGACAGTCGTCTCCATGGCAACTGAAATTGCAGCTATCTGCCTTGACAACTCCAATGGAAAACAACCCTGGTTTTGTGCATGGAAGAGAGGGAATGAGTTCCTGGTGACACCAAACGCGTCCTGCCGAGCTCTGAAGAGGAAGAAGGAAAGCCAGGGCAGTGGGAGCACCGTGCGGAAGCACAAGCCACCCAGGCTCAGCGAGATCAAGAGGAAAACCGATGAACATCCCGAGCTTAAAGAGAAGCTCATGAACAGGGTTGTGGACGAGTCCATGAACCTTGAAGATGTCCCCGATTCTGTCAGCATCTTTGCAAATGAAGTAGCAGCCAAGATCATGAATCTCACAGAGTTCTCCATGGTGGATGGCGTGTGGCAAGCTCAGAACTATTCCCGAAATCGTTTACTGAGTGGCGACAGGTGGAACCGGCTGAAGGCCTCCAGCTGCGAAAGCATCCCAGAAGAGGACTCGGAGGCCAGGGCCTATGTGAACAGCCTGGGTTTAATGAGCACCTTGAGCCAGCCAGTCAGCAGAGCCAGCTCTGTCTCCAAACAGTCGAGCTGTGAGAGCATCACGGATGAGTTTTCCAGGTTCATGGTGAATCAGATGGAAAATGAAGGGAGAGGGTTTGAGCTACTGCTGGATTACTATGCTGGCAAGAATGCCAGCAGCATCCTGAACTCAGCAATGCAGCAGGCCTGCCAGAAAAATGACCACCTTAGCGTGAAGCCAAGCTGTCCCTCCAAGCAGTCAAGCACGGAGAGTATAACCGAGGAGTTCTACAGGTACATGCTGAGGGACATTGAAAGAGAAAGCAAAGACAGCACCTTCTCCAGGCGAAGCAGCCAGGAGTGGAGAACTGGCTTGCTGGCTCCTTCTCTACGATCCCCAGTTTGTTACAGGCAGTCGTCCATGCCAGATAGCAGATCCCCCTGCACCAGGTTAACAGTGAATGCACCAGTCAAAGCCAACTCTTTAGATGGCTTTGCCCAAAACTGCTCTCAAGATTGCCTAAGTGTGCAGACCGTCAGTAGCGCTTCTTCATCTGGTCTCTGCAAATCTGACTCATGCCTGTATCGAAGAGGCGGGACTGACCACATCACAAACATGTTAATCCATGAAACATGGGCCAGCTCCATCGAGGCCCTCATGCGAAAGAACAAAATTATCACGGATGATATGGAGACAGCTGATGCTGGTCCTGTTTCTGGCAGCTCTCCCTTTCAAGGGGAAAAGTGTGCAAACAGATTAGCTGCAAAGAGAGTGCCCAGTGGGCCAAACCTGCTTGTTCAGGAGTCTGTTGATTTCTCAAGAAAGGACCCTGTTATCCAAAGCAAACACCCCTCAGTGTCCTCTCCAAGTGAAACTGCTCCTCTTACAGACAAAGATGATTTAGATGCTCAGAAGGAAACTTCCTCCTGCCCTGATGCTGGTCCTCAAAGCCACAGCAGGTGGTCCCTTTGCTCTAGGGGTGTGCCATTGATTCAGATTGAAACAGACCAGAGAGAAGAGTGTGCCAGAGAACCCAAACCTTTGCTTTCCAAAAGCAGCTCCTTACGGGAGGCAGGAGACCATGAAGAAAGAGTCCTGGATGTGGCCAGGGGTGAAGACACAGCCGTGACTGTCTGCCAGAACCAGAGGTGAGTAAATCATCTTTGATTAGATAAGTCACGTGTCACTGGAGTTGGTATTTTAGTTTTTATTCTTCCTTTTAAACATAAATAGACTTTATTGGTGCAAGAACTTGTAAAAATTAAATTCCTGAGACAATAAATGACTTACTTCAGTTAGTACACACTTGTAATAGAAGATTGGAAGTAATCTTTTTTTTAAATTTCCAAAACAAATTGAACTCGTTCATGTAACAAAAGAAACAGATATTATCCTCCTAATTAAAACTACTATCCCATGGCTTGCTGGCTTCTAAAATTTATTCATTGTGATTTTTCAAGCAAAATAATAATAATAAGCAATGCCACTTATTCATTTGAATACAATCCAATTTAAATACACTTTAGTATTTGAATTTGAGATAAAATATTTTGTTTCTCTAGGTCTTTTTTCAAGATTTTTTTTTTTTTTTGCTCTATTGTAGAAATCTCTGTAAGGACACTACCTTACAAAGTGCTGGTTCTTTCAGGGCATGCATAATTGTGGCAGTATAAGTTCAAAGCATCATGGGAGCATGGTCATTTGAATTATTCTTTTCCATAAAAGTGTAATAGAGTTGACACTACGTTTTGAATTTGAGGCAAGGCAATTATTTATTTCAAGCTGCTTAAATAAATGCCAATTCCAACTTACTCCTTCTGTACAAAATTCATAAGAGAACATTGCACCACCTTTATTTTTAGTCTAGAGTTAAGCAAAATTTAAAAAGTCCTGGCTTCAGAAACATAAAGCTGGAGAAATAACCTGCATAATCTTTTCAGAGACATATGCCTATTGTTTATTGTTTGCAAAGGGCCTGTGGTTTTTAAACATTTAAATCCAATAAGTAAGTAAGTTGAACAAAGTTCAGCAGTTCTCTGAAGATCCAGTACAGTTCAACCTCCACCAGGGAATTGCAACAAATGCAATTTCAGCCATTTATGCTTCTTATTAGGAGATATCAGCATAGGCTGTGTTTGGCACATGGTGCAGTTGGACCTGAGTACTTCCTGCCTAGCCACTTAGGGCTGCGAACTGTACTCTCCAATTGGTTGTAGAAGGATGCAAACAGAGAAAGCATGAGAATATAAGAGCATCAAGGTAAAGGAGAACAAAGCTAAACTAAATGAGGAAAGCGAAGCTGACCAAGAAGACAAGTTTTATATGTCAGTAACTCTCCAGCTACAGAAACTGCTTCCCAAAGACTCTGATCGAGGGAATATGAGAAATTCCAATTTTTAATAATTGTTATCAAAGAGCTAAAGAAATGAAATAGTCAATATAAAATTGTTTAGAATTACCCTAACTTCAAATATAAGGAGAAAGAAATCCTCGATTATGATTGGGATCATAGAGGCCAGGAGTGAGTCTGAACCAAGGATCACAACCTGGCTGAGTCATCTAGTTGGAAACATTCACTAAGTTAGCAGGGCAACAAGATTCATGTTTGTAAACTCAAATAAAATAATCACTATCACTGGAGTTGAATAAAGTACATCATGCAATTTTGAATTAGATGCCACTGATACTACACTTTTAAAAGATACCACCTGGAAAACTTATTTTTAAAAGTTTTAGAATAGCCGAGCGTGGTCGCTCATGCCTGTAATCGCAGTACTTGGGAGGCTGAGGCAGGAGGATCATTGCGAGTTCGAGACCAGCCTGGGCTACAAAGTGAGCTCAAGGCCAGCCTGAACTGCATAGCATGAAACCCTGTCTCAAAAAAGGCAAAAAATTAAAAAATAAAAAAAATAAAAATTTTGGAATAAAGCTTCCAACTGACATAGGTTTGTGTTCCATATAATAACCCAAGCACACAATCTCTTAAAACACAGTATGAGTTTTGGACTTAGTTTTCCATGAATGAAAAAAAAATATGAATCCACTTGCAAAATATAGGGAATGATTATTTAATACACTTTGTGCAGGATGCAAAGAATTGTTATAGAACACGAGCTCACTATGAACCTTACATTCTGTCACTCAGAACCAGTTCCCTGGTTTCTCCTTACCCAGTTTCCTCAGCCATACATGAGAACAATAGTAATGCCAGTACCATAAAAAGAATTATTATGGTTTTTAAAAAAAGCAAGCTAAAGGGGCTGGGGCTTTAGCTCAGTGGCATAAGCGCCTGCCTTGCAAGCAGACAGTCGTGAGTTCGATCCCTGGTACCGATAAAAAAACGAAAAAGACAAAAAAAAAAAAAAAAGCAAGCTACACAAAACTCTTAACTTGGGGGCTTGCCTACTATTAACATTGAATAAATGTTTACAGTTATCACTGCTGTTGGGCTGAAGGTATGTAGTGCCTTTTATTCCAGAAGAATTTTTCCCCAAGAAAAAGCTATCATGAACAATGTGAGTGTTAAAACAAAAGAATTCCTAGATTTTTCCAAAGGGGGAAGATAATTATAATTAAACCGTGTTTTCTAAGCTCAGCATCATTATCATGGGATTCAATGTGTCACAAGTGAACACAAAACTAAATTCCCTGTGACAGAGCTCTCTCCACTCACCCAGGAGAGCAAGGCAGATGACACAGGTATTTCTAATTTTGTTTGGAAGTGAAGATTTGTCATGTCCTGAAGATATTTTTAAGCTACTCAGTGAGCAACATTTCCATATTTCTTTAAAATTTCATTAAAGGGCCAGGGATTCGGTTCAGTGGCCTAAGTGCCTGCCTGGGAAATACAAAGTCCTGAGTTTGATTTCTGGTACCAAATAAAATAAATAAATAAATAGAATTTTGTTAAAACTAAAAAATATAGAAGTAAAAATCATTTCCTTACTTTTTTTATTTGATAAAAGAATAACAGCTTCAGAAATCATTCCCAGTTAGAAGTACCTGTTGTCTACCAGGTCAACTCACTTTATCAGATACTGGAGTCACCCCTCAATTTCAGAAACATTAAATAATCTGGGGTAGTCCTTTCCTTGATTTCTGAGGAAATTATATTTTATTGCTGGGCAGTAATGTGGTTCTGTTTGTTTTGGGTTTTTGTGGGGACGGAAGGGGTATTGTGTGTGTGTGTGTGTGTGTGTGTGTGTGTGTGTGTGTGATGCTGGGATAGAGACTGGAACCTCATGTGCGCTAGGCATGCAATGTAATACCCATTTACACCCTAATCTATTTTCATTGCTGTCCCCTTTCTTTGAGGAGAGCAGCTATTTTCTTTTTTGGAAGTTGAGCCCACGATGGATAAACAGCATTGCACTTACTGACATAATCTAGTATTTTTAGAAACAAATTTTATGTTGTATATTCACTTATATTTGAAAAACATTATTCATCCTACAAGGATTGAGCTCCCAGTCTGTGATATCCACTATTGTGGGAGCTGAAAAATACAGAAGAAAATTCTCCCATGGTTCTTCCATACTAGTAAGAGATAACAGACAACATACATGGATAAACTCTGGAAAATGACTATAGGATCATATGATGGAAAATTTAAAGAGCAATGTGATAGAGAATAACTGGCGAAAGAAGTAGCTACTAGAGATAAGATGTTAGCATTTAAATTAGATTAAATGAAAGAAAAAAGAACTTGAGAAAAATTGAGGTAAGATACTTGCATTCCAGACATTTCAGTATCATAATCTGATTGTCTCACCATGAATCACCTAGAAATCTTGAGTTAAATCTAATTAACAACACCCATTTAAATACGAAGCTGTGCTTAGCAGTAATAATTATAGTAGTGAGAGGCTCACAATATAAAAGACTAGAAATAAATATCATAAATTGACTGACTCTGTGCCTCCTTTTGAGATGTTTACACTTCTCAGTTGAAATTTTATCTTCTAAACACCAGTAAAATGAAGAAATGACACTGTGGGCTTATAAATACTTAAGAGTTGGAGCAGAGAGCAGTCTCCAAACTAGAAGGGTAATAACCATCTATGAACTAAAGAAAAGTTCAACAACCCCAAAAAGGAGCTGAAACAAAATGTATGTCTCAGGCTTAGGGCTCTTGGGTTTTTTGATTTTTGTTTTTTGTTTTTTAAGAGAATAAAGCCTAACAAAATGAAACAGAATAAAGCCAATCAAAACAAAACAGAGAAAGTGGTATAGAACTTCAAAACAGGATAATAGGAAATCAACATTGGCCACCATAAAAATCTTGTAATCTTAAGTAGTTGTCCATTCCTTCAGACATAGTAAAATCAAATAAAACACATTGGAACAAAAGCAATCAAAACAGAACATTAAATAAATAAAACAATAAATTGGAACAAAACAGAACAGTGAGAACAATCTTGGATTTCAAAAACAAAACAGAAGGAAATCCTCCATATTTGCTATATTGTATACTATTAGTCTCCTAATAGACACTCAGAATGCTGGCTCTGGGCCTGCAAAGTCAATTAAACAGTACAAGAATTTAATCATTTTTGTACCTCAGTTGCTATCAACTCGGCCTACCCTCAGAACCAGCTGGTTGCATACAGAGGGGTTCTTGATTCTCAGCCTTTGTGACTATCAGCTCACAGGAGGAGTGAACTGGCTTCTCTTTTCCTGGACCCCACATGGTTTGTGCAGCTTATAGAAAGGGCAAATTGGCTTCCTGTTGTGCTCCCTCCAGATCAAACATGGCTTCTGCTGACTCACAGGAAGAGTGAACTGGCTTCTTTCTTCCTGGGCCCCACATGGTTTGCATGGCTTATGGGAATGGTGAATTGGCTTTTCGCTGTGCTCCTCCCGGACCCAGCATGGCTTTCTCAGAGTTAGGACTCTTGATATATGAAAAAGATTTACCATAAAAATTTACAGTTACAGGGACTGGGGATTTAGCGCAGTGGTGCGGTGCCTACCTGGCAAGTGTGAAGCCCTGAGTTTGATTTCCAGTACTCAAAAACAACAGAAAAAAAATTGCAATTACAGGTTGTCTCAATGTATGCTTGGAGTTCTAATTTGCATTACTGGTTGATGCAGAAAACCCCACACTAGTTAATAACTTTAAAACAGCCTCAGTTTAATAGCCCCATAA